CCGCCCCCTCCCCCCCCCCCCCTCTCTCTCTCTTCCCCCCTCTCTCTCTAAAAAATCGCCAACACGCTTTCTAATCAAAAAGTACCGTGTGCGTATGTGTGCGTGCAGACGGCAGGCGGCCGCTGCTGCTGCTGCCGCTGCTGCCATGCCGCCTTTGTTGTCGTCCTTCAGGCGCCTGGTTCCGCTGCTGCTAGCAGCGCTGTCCGCGCGGCGGATAGCGGTAGAGGCGGCCCTTGTCACGGAGGACCTGCAGCTCGTGTGGCACGACGAGTTCAACGGGGGCTCCGTGGACTGGGACAAGTGGGTTGTCGACGAGGGGGACGGCTGCGACGTCGACCTGTGTGACTGGGGGAATGGGGAAAAACAGGCAAGTTGTGTTGCGTTTTGTTTTGTTTCTTCATAATATGACACAAAGAACACAAAATATATCCATAGAAGAAAATCTGAGATAGATTAGCAATGAATTCATGGCGTCAGCGGAAACTGCCTCTATTTCTACGGTTTCCCGAGCAGCACACAGCGATATTTCCCCTGTGGGTAGCAGGCTCAACAAGACAGTTTTTTGCCGTCTTGTGTGTCACTGTGTATGACATGGTATGATATGCTGGGAAGGTGTAGAGGAAGATGTTGGTTTGAAATCGCCTCGAGTGAGGGACTTTTTGTTCGGTCTTCACTTGAACATCAGCGCCTACAGCATTTGCGCCGTTTACTCAAAAACCGGTGGAGAATGAAGAGTTTTTTTTTGGGGGGTTGTTGTTTCTTGTGTTTTGTGGAAATGTCGGCGGTTTTGTGCGGTCAGTCACGCTTTACCACGGAGGTATTCATTGTTGTTGTTGGGAACTACCGCAAAGACACGCGCACGGTACGTGCTGCTCAAGGGTGGCCTTGACAACCAAAAAGTAGGAGGGCTACGACTTCACGGCACCGCGACGCTCGGCCTGTTGGATCCAAACACACTTGCCGTTTGCTGTTGGAATGGGTTGATGCTGCGAAGGTTTAGATGTTTTACGAGGTAGGGTACTGCTGCCCTTCTACCACATCTAATTTGGCTACATTGACACCACGGCCACTACTACTACTGCTGCTGCTAGTGCTACTACTGTTACAACGGCCACTGCTCCTGGTAGTGCTGATGGGGCTTGGTGTTGTGGCGATCCCATGAAAACGCTGGCAGGATGAAGGGAGACCTGCATAGTCGTGGTTGCTGCTGGGACGGGGATAGCTCTGGGGATTGGGCGAGTGTTTGATGGCGGGTGGGGGAAAGAAAGTATACGCGATCGTCGTCGTCGTCGTCGTATAGAAGAGCGGGGAGGAACAGCATGAACAACAACAGCCTCGACAAACAGTAGTGACGGAAACGTGTCCACCATAACGGCGCCGGCAACGGTAAAATACCGCAGAACCCTAGCAACCCTAACAACAAAAATAGCAACAGCAGCAGTAACAACAGCAACAACGACGCCGGCACCACCACCACCACCACCAAAAAACCCAATCAAATGCCCACGATTACGACGCCGGCAACGGGAAAGAACAAACAAAAAAAAAACAGGCTGGAAACACCTGGTATACATGACTTGGCCGTCCCTGTCTGCGGGTGCTAACCGTGCTCCTCGTTGCTCCCATCTGTGTGTTTGTTCGTTTTTTTTTTTCTCGCGCAGTACTACCTGAGCGAGAATGCTGCGGTCGCCAACGGGGTGCTAGCGATCACTGCTAAGAAGGAAGATTTTTCTTCAAGGCAAGACAGATGTCGATCGCTTGAACCGGAACGCCTCCGCGCGATTTTTCAAAAGTTTATGAGGAAATAGAGCAGGGAAGAGGGACGCAGACCCTATTCGCTAGCCCTACCCCAACTTCCCCGACCGTATGCATATTCCAACATGTTTACAATAGAAAGCACTATAATAGTACCTTGCGAAGGATGCTGCTTCAACCAGCCGCAAGCTCAACCCTTACGCTGTCCCTGGAAACCATACGAGTGTAGAAGTGTTTTGTGTTGACTGTATGTTTGTTTGTTTATTTCACGTGATGTTTGTTTTGACCTCGAGCGAGAACACTCACTCACTATAATTTGGTCATTAATTTCACAATGAAGATTATTAGGACTTTGGAGAAGAAACATGTTTTTTTTGTTTTTTCTTCTTCACCCGGTGCAGGTTTTACACCAGCAGCAAGGTCACGACAAAGAACAAGTTCTCCTTCCGGTACGGCAGGGCGGAGGCTAGGTTGAGGCTCCCTCCTGGTGGACAGGTACATGCATAAGACTACGGAGGCACAGACGTTTTTATTTTTGCGAAAGAACCTTGTTGTCGCTGTGTTTGTGTCTTTGGTGTTGCCGCTGCCGTTGTTGTTGCTGCTCTTGTTGTTATTGGTAGTGTCGTTGTTTGTGTTTCTGTCGTCGTTGTTGTTTGGTGTGTGTCGTTGTCGTTACCTTTGTCGTTGCCGTCGTTGCGTCACGGTTGCTGTTGTCGTTGGTGACGTCAGTGGTTTGTTGTTCTTGTTGTTGGTGGTGCTTTGTTGTTGTTTAGTAGTAGTTGTTGTGTTGTTGTTAATGTTGATGTTGTTGTTGTCGTGCTCCTCGATTGTTTCCTCGTTCGCGTGACGGCTGCCCTGCTTCTCTGCTGTCCTTCCTTTTAGCGTTGGGATGGTGTCACCTTCCAACGCTAACGCTGATTTCCTCTCCGGGCAAAAACACCACACCAACAAGTATGATGCTTGCTCTCGCATCGAATACCCCGCTGTGTCTTACAACCGCTGTGTCTTACAACCGCTGTGTCTTACAACCGCTGTGTCTTACAACCGCTGGGTCTTACAACCGCGGTGTTTGACAACCAACCGCTGGGTCTTACAACCGCGGTGTTTGACAACCAACCGCTGGGTTTGATAACCGATGTGTTTGATAACCAACCGCTGGGTTTGATAACCGCTGTGTTTGATAACCAACCGCTGGGTTTGATAACCGATGTGTTTGACAACCAACCGCTGGGTTTGACAACCAACCGCTGGGTTTGATAACCAACCGCTGTGTCTTACAACCGCTGGGTTTGATAACCAACCGCTGGGTTTGACAACCAACCGCTGGGTTTGACAACCAACCGCTGGGTTTGACAACCAACCGCTGGGTTTGATAACCGATGTGTTTGACAACCAACCGCTGGGTTTGACAACCAACCGCTGGGTTTGATAACCAACCGCTGTGTCTTACAACCGCTGGGTTTGATAACCAACCGCTGGGTTTGACAACCAACCGCTGGGTTTGATAACCGCTGG